GCGGGGGACCGAGGGGGACAGGAGGGGACAAGAAGGGGACAGGGGGCACCTGGCACTGCCAGGATGGGGGCGGGGGTCAGGGGCTGCTTGAGGGGTCGGGGGTCGGCAGCGCCCTGAGGGGCTGGAGGGGCCGGTGTGGGGTGGAGAGTGGGGACACGGGGGGACATTGGGGACACGAGGGGGACACGGGGGAGACATTGGGGACACCGGGATGGGGTGTGGGGCAGCCCGGGAATTCCGTGGGGCGAGGCCAGGAATTCCGGGGTGGAGTGGGCACCGACACGGGGCAGGTGGGAGGGGACAACGGGACAGGGGGACACAGGAAAAGGGGACACAGGGACAGGGGGACACGCGTGGGGTGATTCCAGCGTGAACTGGGCACTGTCACCGGGTGGGGACAGGGGGACACGGGGACCCGAGCGAGCGGTGCTGCCAGGTGGCTCCATGGGGTATCCGGGGGATTCCATGGATCAGAATTCCAAGGAACTCCACACTGAACTGGGCACCCCCGCGGGGCAAGAGAGACACGGGGACATTGGGGACGTGGGGACAACCGGGACAGGGGGACACCGGACACGGGAGGGGGGCATCCAGGGCATTCCATGGGGCATCCTGGGCATTCCATGGGGCATCCAGGGAATTCCAGGGTGAACTGGGCACCCCCAGCGTGAACTGGGCACCGGCACGGGGCAGCGAGTGGGGGACAGGGGGGGACACGGGGGACACCCCGGGTGGGCGCCGCCAGGGGGGGGGGATTCCCAGGCGCATCCAGGTGATTCCAAAGTGCATCCCAGGGATTCCCGGGCTCTTCCAAGGGATTCCCGGGCGCTGCCAGGCCGTGCCCCGGTGAACTGGGCACGGCCACGGCGGCTCCGGGCCGTGCCAAGGCGTTCCCAAGGCCACGGCACGGGGAGGGGGGTGACGGGACACACCCCCACGGCGAGCGGGGACCCGCCCGTGGGCCACCAGGAGCCACCCGAGTGCCACCGGGTGCCATCGGGCAGTGACGTCACGGGCAGGGTGCCACCAGGGTGCCACCAGCGGCCACCGCGGTGCCACCGGGCAGTGCCACGGCGAGCTGGGTCCCTCCCAGGTGCCACCAAGCAGTGCCACAATGAGCTGGGTCCCTCCCAGGTGCCACCAGGCAGTGCCACCGGGCAGTGCCACAATGAGCTGGGTCCCTCCCAGGTGCCACCCGGGTGCCACCAGGGTGCCACAATGAGCTGGGTCCCTCCCAGGTCCCTCCCAGGTGCCACCGGGCAGTGCCACAATGAGCTGGGTCCCTCCCAGATCCCTCCCAGGTGCCACCAGGCAGTGCCACGGCGAGCTGTGTCCCTCCCAGGTGCCATCCGGGTGCCACCGGGCAGTGCCACAGGGAGCTGGGTCCCTCCCAGGTGCCACCAGGCAGTGCCACAATGAGCTGGATCCCTCCCAGGTGCCACCCGGGTGCCACCAGGCAGTGCCACAGGGAGCTGGATCCCTCCCAGGTGCCACCAGGGTGCCACAATGAGCTGGATCCCTCCCGGGTGCCACCAAGCCGCTGCCCCGCCGTCCCTGTCCCCGTGGATCCCCGGCCTCCGTCCCTCCCCACGCGGCTCTCGAGGAATCCCGGGCACCGGCGGGGTGGGGAGGGGGCAGGAATTTCGGGGGGTGCCCTCTCCGCCCCCCCACAACCCCCCCGTGACCCCCCAGCCCACGTGGCCCCCTGGCACAGCTCCCCCGCCCGCCCAGCCACGCCGGTGGCCCCGGGCCAGGGCGGAATCCCAAACATCCCGAATCCCAAACATCAACCCCCTTCCCGCTCCTTCTCCCTGCGCCGGAAGGGGGCTGCTCCCTTACCCCCCGATTCACTCCGCTCGATTTTGGGGGTCCCTCATCCCCACCCCCCACGCGCGATGCCGAGCCCGGCGTGGCCCTTCCAGCGGTGCCGCCACATCTGGGGAGGGAGGGTCGTGCCAGGGTTGGCACGGCCCGAGTGGATCCCGGCGGATCCCCCGGGGGGGGAAGGGGGGGGTCCCTCCACCCTCCAGGACAGCGGGGACCCCCCCCAAAGTGGGGATGGGGGTCCCCTGGTGCTCCCCGGCCTGGGGCGGGGTGGGGGTGGGGAGGGATGAGCCAGAGCTCCGGAATGTGGAGGAATGTGGAGAAGGCCCCGATCCCGATCCCGATCCTGATCCTGATCCTGATCCTGATCCCGCCGGGATCGGCCCAGACCGACACCGGGAGCGGCCCCGGGAGCGACCCCCGCGGGTCCCGGGCCGGGGGGTGACCCCGAGGGGGGTCCCGGTGGCACCGGGATCGGCCCGGGCTGGGAATGCCGGGCTGGGATAAAAATAACCGGGAATGGGAACGGGAGAGGCCGCGGGAAGGGAGGGAAGGGGGGGGAGGACGTTGGGGGTCCTACAGGTGAGGGGAGGGGGGTCCCACAGGTAGAGGGATCCGGGGGGGGTTCATTTAGGGAAGATTTGGGGGGGTTCAAGGGTGGGAAAAGTCCTGGATTGTGGGGAGAAAGATCCCTTGGCCCAGTACGAACTGGGCCAAACTGGGCCAAACTGGGAGCAGCTCCAGAGGGTCTGGGAGTCCTGGGGGCACCGAGGGGACCACGGGCTGGTGGGGACGTGGAGAGGGTGGAGGGGTCACCTGGGGGGATTTTGGGGGGTTCAAGGACAGGAAAATCCTGGACTGTGGGGAGAAAGATCCCTTAGCCCAGTACAAACTGGGCCAAACTGGGAGCAGCTCTGGAGAGGAGCTGCAGGTCCTGGGGGGCTCCACAGGGACCTGGAGCTGGTGGGGATGTGGAGAGGGTGGAGGGGTCACCTTGGGAGATTTTGGGGGGTTCAAGGACAGGGAAAAGTCCTGCACTGGGACCCCCATCCCAGTATGAACTGGGCCAAACTGGGAGCAGCTCCAGAGGGTCTGGGAGTCCTGGGGGGCACTGAGGGGACCACGGACTGGTGGGGATGTGGAGAGGGTGGAGGGACCAGCCAGGGGGGATCTCAGGGGGCTTGAGGTGGGCAAGGCCCTGCAGTGGGAGAAGAAGGACCCTCTGGCCCAGTATGAACTGGGCCAAACTGGGCAGCAGCTGGGGGGGGTCTGGGGGTCTCTGGGAGGCACCAAAGGGGCCAGGAGCTCATGGGGGGCCTCGAGAGGGTGGAGGAGGGGCCTGGGAGGGTCCGGGGGTCCTGGGGGCTTGGGGGGTTGGGGAAGGTCCCGCACTGGGAGGAAGAACCCGATGGACCAACGTGAACTGGGCCAAACTGGGAAGAAATTTTGGAGGTGCTGGTGGGTCCCAGTGAGGAGAGGTTGGGGGAGAAACCCCCCAGGATCCCTCCCTCTCCGAGGCCAGGGCAGGTCCCGCCTCCCCAGTGTCCCCAGTGCTCTCCCAGTGTCCCCAGTGCTCTCCCAGTATCCCCAGTGTCTGCTCCAAAGGGCACTGGGGGAGGGGGGGACCCCCTGACTGTCACCGTGGGGGTCCCCCAGGCCTGGGGGGACTCCCTGGGGTGGGGGAAGGAAGGTGACATCTCCACCCTCGGGGGTCCAGGAGATGCTGGGTTGAGGTCCTGGGGTGGGTGGGGAGGATTTTGGGGTCCCACCCCCTCTCTTGGGCTGGAGGGGGAGTCGGGAGTCACCTCGGGGGTCATTTAGGGGTGGTCCCAAAGGGGGTGGTCGGGGGAGTAAGTTGGGGGGTGGCTTTGGGGGTTTGGGGTTTCCCTTGAGGGGTCTGGGGGTCACCTTGAGGGAGGCCCTGGGGGTCTTAGGGGGTCTTGGGGTTGCCCAAAGAGAGGGGGTCTGGGGGTCCCTCGAGGGGAGGGTCTGGAGATTCACCTCGATTGGGGGGTCTGTTTTGGGGGTGGGGGAACTGGGGTCACCTCTGGAGGGCTCTAGGGGTGACCCTGGGGGTCTCTGAAAGGGGGCTCTCAGAGGGGCCTCAGGGTTATCTGGGGGTGGGGTTCACCTCGGGGCGGGGCTTATTTAGGGGGAAGTTTGGGGGTGACCTGAGGGGGGTCGTGGTTACCTGGGGAGGGGGCGGAGCTTGGGATTCACCTGGAAGGGGAGGGGTTACCGGGAAGGGGGATTTGGGAGGGATTTTTGGGGGAGGGTCTTGGGGTGTATCTGGGGAGGGGTGACCTGGAGGGGGAGGGGCTTACCTCGATGGGGGGAGAGGGGGGGGGATCCGGGCTCGGGAAGGGGAGGGTGTCCCGGGGGGACCCTCAAAGTGGAGCCCCGACGGGCACCGGGACCGGGACCGGGACCGGGATTGGGATTGGGAGCAGGACGGGATCGGCACCGGGATTGGATCGGGTCGGGACCGGGACTGGGATTGGATCGCGACAGGAGCAGGATCGGACCATGACTGGGGTCAGGACTGGGACTGGATCGGGATCAGGACTGGGATTGGATCGGAACCAGTACCGGGATTGGATCGGAACCAGGACTGAGATTGGATCGGGACCAGAACCGGGATCGGACCAGGATCGGGTCGAGGTCGGGACCAGGAACAGGACCGGGACTGGAACTGGTTCAGGATCAGGACTGGGACAGGAATTGGATCAGGATCGGGACCGGGACAGGAATTGGATCAGGATCAGGACCAGGACAGGAATTGGATCGGGATCAGGACTGGGACAGGAATTGGATCGGAATCAGGGCCGAGACCGGACTTGGATAGGGACTGGGATCGGATCAGGACTAAAACTGGATCGGGATAGGAATTGGATCGGATCGGGGTCGGGAACGGGAGCAGGAGCGGGCCCGAACTTGGACCGGGCTCGGTGCCGGTGCCGGTGCGGGCTCTGTCCCGGTGCGGGCGCGGCGGGGCCGTTCCCGTTCCCGTTCCCGCTCCCGCTCCCTGCGCGGGGCTGGGCCGCTCCCTGGGCCGTCCCGGGGCCGATCCCTGTCCCGGGGCCGGGCCGGGCCGGTCCCTCCCCGCCGGGGCGGGGGAGGCTCCGCCGCCCGTACAAGAGCCCGGACCCGCCCGGGCGCGGCCACTCGCAGCGATCCCGCCGAGCACGGACCCGCCGGGGCCGCTCCGGGACCACCGGGACCACCGGCACCGGGACCCGCCGCCAGGAATCGGCCCCCGGCATGGCCCGGGCCGGCAGCTGAGCCCGCGGCCCGCAGGTACCGACCGGGACGGCCCCAGGACGGCCCTGGGAACGCGCCGGGAGCGGGAACGGCGGCTCCGGGCGGGGCTGGGGGCTCGGGGGAGCCCCGGGGAGCTCTGGGGTCCCGGGGGTGCAGGGGGTGTCCCGCACTGTCCCGGGGTGCAGGGGGTGTCCAGGACTGTCCGGGGGGCTCTGGTGGTCCCAGGGCTCTCCAGGAGTCCCGGGGAGTTGGGAAGTTTTCCAAGGGGGCTCGGGGGCTCCAGGGGTGCAGGGGGTTGTCCCGGTGGTCCCGGAGAGTCGTGGGGGCTCCGGTGGTCCCGGGAGTGCGTCCTGGTGGTCCCAGGACTGTCGTGGGGGTGCAGGGGGTTGTCCCGTGACTGTCCTGGGGCTCCGCCGCTCCCGGGGGTGCAGGGGAGGTTTGTCCCGGGGCTCCGGGAGCCCCAGGAACTCTACGGGGCGGTGTCCGGGGGCCCACGCGTGTCCCGTGATTGCTCGGGGGCTCCGGGAGTCCCGGGCGTGCACAGGCGGAGGGTCCCGGGGGCGGGGGTCTCCTAGCCCCACGGGGCGGGCTGGGGGTGTCCCACGGGTGTCCTGGGATGCAGGGAGGGGTCCCGGCGGTCCCGGGACGTCCCGGCCGCGCTCAGGGCGTGGCCCCCTCTTCCCCCTCTCCGACCGCGCCCGGGGAGTCCCCGCTGGGGCGGGGCCACGGAGATCCCCCTCCCCCTCCGCGCCCATCCCCGCCCCGTCCGCGCTCGGGGACCCCGGGGGTCCCGGTGCCGTCGGTTGGGGGTGGGGGTTGAGGGCTGGGGCATGGGGATCCCGGGATCCCGCGAGGGCGCGGCCGCGCGTGGGCGATCGGTTAATGAAGGTTCAGTTAATTAACGTTCATCAGGGCCGGTTTCAGCGCGGGGGTGGGAAGGGCCCGGCACAGGACGGGGTGGGGGGGAACGGGGCGTTAATTTTGGGGTTCGCTCGACCCCCACACCCCACTCAAAGGCTGTTTGGATCCGTCCATGGGGAAGGTGGGATTTGGGGGGTGGGGTGCAGGTGCCCCGCGCACCCGCTGCGGTTTTTGAGGGTGCGGCCGCACCCACGCGCCACTCTCCCCTCCCCCTCTTCCTGGGGACCCCCACCCCCATTTCGGGGGGGCTCAGCGAGGCTTCCCCACCAAAGTGAGGCTTCCCAACCCCCTCCCAAAAAAAAAGCACCGCGGGGACCCCCAAACCAAACCCCACCCTGAGCGAGGCGGGGGCACCCCCACCCCTCCAAAGATTTTGGGGTGCACGTGGCATCCTCGGGGGGCACAGTGGGGAGAACCCCCCCGTCGTTTTAGGGGGGGGTTTAGGATGAGGTGAAAAGCCCCTTCCCCACATTCCCGCCCCCCACCCCCCCCAAAAAAAATGCCCCGACGCCACCGCCGCGCGTGGCCGCGGGCAGCGTCCGGGCAGGACCCGGTGGAACCGGTCCGGGAGCCGCGGTGGCGGCGGCCTCGGGATCCTCCCGGATCCCCGGGAACCCTCGACGCCCCGCGGGACTCTCGCCCCAGCCGGTTGAACCGGTACCGACCGCGGGGCCCCGCCCGGGCTCTGCCGCCGCCGCCTCGCGCCCCCGTTCACTCTCCCATTTTTATATTTTTATATTTATTTTGGGGGGAGTTTTTTTTTCTTTTCCTCCCTTGCCCTGCGATGGTTTTTTTTTTCCCCTCGTCCCGTTCCCCCATTTTGGGGATGGTTTTCCGCGCTTGGCGGCGGCTCCGAGGGTTTTCCTGGGAGGATCCCGGGCCGTGCGTCACCGGCAGTCACCGGCCCGGCGGCTCCGGGGGCCCCGGAGAGGCTCCTGCCCCGCCCGACCCCCTGCTTCTGGGGGTCCGAGACCCCCAAATTTGGGAGTCCAACACGCCCCAGACATCCCCACGTTTGGGGGTCTGATATCTCCTAGACATCCCCGCATTTGGGGGTCTGACATCCTCCAGACATCCCCGCATTTGGGGGTCTGACATCCCCCAGACATCCCCGCATTTGGGGGTCCAATCCTCCCAAATTTGGGGGTCCAACCCCCTCCAGACATCCCCGCATTTGGGGGTCCAATTCCCCTCAAATTTGGGGGTCCAATCCCTCCCAGATTTGGGGGTCCAATCCCTCCCAGACATCCCCGCATTTGGGGGTCCAACCTTCTCCAAATTTGGGGGTCCAACCCCTTCCAGACATCCTCACATTTGGGATCCAACCTACCTTAAACATCCCCGCATTTGGGGGTCCAATCCTCCCCAAATTTGGGGGTCCAACCCCTTCCAGACATCCCCACATTTGGGGGTCCACCCCTCCCGCCCCCCCCATACGGGGGTCTTGCCCCTCACTGGGGGGGGGTTGGGGGTTCACTGTTGGTGACTGTGAAGGATTTTGGGGACCCCCAAATTTTGGGGGGGGGTCCAATCACCCCCCCCGGGGGATGTTGGTGGTTCTCGGGGTGGTGTCAACTGAGGGGGGGGAAGAGGAGGAGAATTTTGGGGTGTCACTGGAAGGGGGTGCAGAGAGGAGGACGATGAAGGTCCCTGGGGGGTCCCCGGGGGGTGACACCGTCAGGGCGACGCTGTGACAGTGACGTCACGGGGGTGACGCTTTTGGGGAGAGTCTGGGAGGGGTCTTGGGGGTCTGGAGATGAGGATGAGGAGGGTGGAGGTGACACCGTGGGGGTGACACCGTGGGGGTTGATGACGGTTCTTGGGGGGATCACGGGGTTTGGCCGCCCCCTCCCACCCCTCCACCCCCTCCCGCCTCCACCGCCGCCGCCAGGGCCGGTTTTGGGTGATTAAGGACCTGTGGCCTCAGCAAATCGTCCCTTTGTGGCCCCGGAGCCGCCGGGAGCGGCCGCGGCTGCACAAACAGCCGGGATTTGGGCTGGGGAGGGGGGAAATCCCGGGGGGTGGGAATGCCCCTCGAACAGCACCCGGCGCTGGGAGGGGTCCCCAAACAGCACCCAGGGGTTGGGGGGTCCCCAAACAGCACCCGGGGCTGGGGGGTCCCCAAACAGCACCCAGGGGTTGAGGGGTCCCACCACTGTCCTCCTGTCCCCCCAACAGCACCCAGGGGTGTGTGGGGTGTCCCTAAACAGCCCCCCAGGGGTGTGTGGGGTGTCCCCAAACAGCCCCCCAGGGGTGTGGGGTTGGGATTTGGGGGGTCCCGCCGCCGTGACAGCAGCGCCCGTTCGGGGGTGATTTTAGGTGGTTTTTGGGGTGTTTTTTGGGTGCCTGGGGGGATCCCTGTGGGTGTCGCGGCCTCGGGTGGCATCTCCTCCCTCTGCGGCTTTTTGGGGCCGGACCGCGAAGGGGAGTGAAGGGGGGTTGGAACTAAAAATACAGGGAAGGGGCAGCACGTGGTTCACCCCAAAAATAACCGCGGGCCGTTGTGGCGGGAGGTGAAGGGGACAGGGTGGCACCACCGAGGGGACACGCGAAGGTGTCCCCCTGTGCCCGGGGGGAGGGGGGTGTGGAACGAGCCCCTCCCCCTCCCGCCAGGACACCCCGGGCTCTGAGCGGGGGGGAGGGAGTGGGGGGAGGTGAAACCCGTGGAAAATTGTTGGAAAATTGTTGGAAAACTGTTGGAAATCCGTCGGCAAAGCCGCTCCTCGCCCCTTTCTTTGGGGAAGCGCCCGCGGGGCCGAAGCGCGGCCGCGGCCGCTCCCTGAGCTCGGGGCGGGTCTGAGTCACCCACGGGTGTCCCCCACCCACCACCACCCCACGGAGCCCCCGCCCAGCCCGCGGGCCCGGCCCACCCTGAGTCACAAACCTGTTCGGCCGCCGCCGCCGTCGGGAGCTTTTCCAGAGGCTTCCGCCGCAGGATCAGGCCCCTTGGAGACACCCACGGGTGGGGGGAGGCAGGATGGGACCCCCCTCACAGCCACACACCCCTCCCCTCCCCAAGGTCAGATCAGCAGCCCCCTTTTCGACCCAGAGCTCCCCCCCCGAGACCACCCAATGGCATCTGGGGTTCCCAGGAGTGGAGGTGCCACCCTCCACCCCTCTCAAAATTTGGGGTGTCTGGAGACCCCCAGGACCACCCCAACTCCTGGAGGTCCTCCTAGGGGTGGGACCCCCCCAAAATCTCCTGCTGAACTCGGTGAGGGTCCCCCTCAGCCAGAGTGTGGTGGCAGTGGCACCCCCCGCCCCCCACTGTGGTGTCCCAACATCCAGGTGGTTAAAAACCAGGAATCCCCTGGAAAATGACCCCCGTCCCTCCCCACCCCCCAAAAACACCCCCCTCCCCAAATTCCCCAAAATCCCCTCCTGTGGCCGCCTTTGGGGGGTGGCACTGGGAGGGTGGGGGGACAGTGGGAAGGGGACAATTTGGGAAGTGTTTTTTGGGGGGTCCAGGTGAGGCCTGGGAGGTCTCAGCCCTGACACCAAACCAGCTGGAGGTCCCAAACTTCTCCCTGAATTCCTGGTGGGATTGGGGAATCGGGGCTGGAACGTGGCGGGTTCTCCCCCGCCCAGGGATCTGAGGGGGAGATGGAAGGAAGAGGATCTGAGGGGGAGGGGGAAGGAAGAGGGATCTGAGGGGAGAGATGGAAGGGAAGAGGGATCTGGGGGGAGATGGAAGGAAGAGGGATCTGGGGGGGGGGAGATGGAAGGAAGAGGGATCTGGGGGGGGGAGATGGAAGGAAGAGGGATCTGGAGGGGGGAGATGGAAGGAAGAGGGATCTGAGGGGGGGAGATGGAGCTTCATGGACCCCCCCAATGTCCCCTCCAGGCTGGGGAGGTGACACAGAAACCGCTGCGAGGTCCCCGGAGCGAGGGCAGAGGATTCCTGGGGGCGGATCCGGGCGGGATCTTCATCCCGGCAAGGTCAGTGGGGGGATCTTCCCCCCCAAAACCCCAACCCCAACCCCCTGTGTGGTGTCCCTCACCCTCACCCCCATCCCCTGCCGTGTCCCCGGGGCTGCAGATGGAGAAAGAGGAGGAGGAGACGCGGGAGATCCTCCTGCCCAACTGGCAGGGCAGCGGCTCCCACGGCATCACCATCGACCAGACCGACGACGGCGTCTTCGTCAAGCGCGTCCAGCAGAACTCCCCGGCCGCCCGCATGGGCGTCGTCAAGGAAGGTGAGGGGGTCTTTGGGGGGGCTTTTGGGGTTGTTTGGTCCATCCTGGTGGCACCTTGGGTGTCTTCTCCTCTGACCTTGTGGGCACTGATCCCACAGTCACTCGTGGTGGGGACGGGGGAACTCCTCCCTGAGGGTTTTGGGGTGAAAAAGGGGGTCTTTGGGGTTGTTTGGTCCATCCTGGTGGCACCTTGGGTGGTTCCTCCTCTGTCCTTGTCGGTGATGACCCCAGTATGGTGGGGATGGGGTGGGGGCTCCTCCCTGATGGTCCTGGGGTCTTTGGGGTTGTTTGATCCTTCCTGGTGGGACCTTGAGTGGCTTCTCCTCTGGCCTTGTGGGCACTGACCCCACAGTCACTCGTGGTGGGGATGGGGGGGCTCCTCCCTGATGGTCCTGGGGACTTTGGGGTTGTTTGATCCATCCTGGTGGCACCTTGAGTGGCTTCTCCTCTGGCCTTGTGGGCACTGATCCCACTGTTGCTCATGGTGGGGATGAGGAGGGGGCTCCTCCCTGAGGGTTTTGGGGTCAAAAATGAGGCCTTTGGGGTTGTTTGGTCCATCCTGGTGGCACCTCGGGTGGTTTCTCCTCTGTCCTTGTAGGTGATGACCCCAGTATGGTGGGGATGGGGGGGGCTCCTCCCTGAGGGTTTTGGGTGTGAAAAAATGGGGCTTTTGGGGTTGTTTGATCCATCCTGGTAGCACCTCGGGTGGTTCCTCCTCCCCCCTCACTGAAAACGACCCCACAGCCAGTCCTGGTGGGGATGAGGAGGGGGCTCCTCCCTGAGGGTTTTGGGTGCAAAAACCACAATCCTTGGGGTTGTTTGGTCCATCCTGGTGGCACCTCGTGTGGTTCCTCCTCTGTCCTTGTGGGTGATGACTCCAGTATGGTGGGGATGGGGGGGCTCCTCCCTGATGGTCCTGGGAACTTTGGGGTTGTTTGATCCTTCCTGGTGGCACCTCAGGTGGTTCCTCCTCCCCCCTCACTGGCAACGACCCCACAGCCACTCGTGATGGGGACGAGGAGGGTCTCCTCCCCAGCACCCCTGACCCCCTCGTGCCCCCCAGGGGACCAGATCGTCAGTGCCACCGTCTACTTCGACAACCTGCAGTCGGGGGAGGTGGCCCAGCTGCTGCAGACCATGGGCCACCACCACACCGTGGGGCTGCGGCTGCAGCGCCGCGGCGACCGCTCCCCCCTGCCCGGCCAGCCCTGGGGACACGACGTGTTCGCCGCCGGCAGCACCGAGGTCGTGCTGGTGAGTGGGGGAGGACAGGGGGGAGGGAGACCCCGGTGGGTGGGGATGATGATGGTGGTGGTGGTGGTGAGTGTGAGGGGCAAGGGGAGGGTGGGGGTGACTGTGGGTGGTGATGGTGAGGGAGGGAGGAGGGTGATGGTGACCCTGGTGGGTGATGGTGAGTGAGGGGGGAGGGCAGGGGTGACCATGGGGGTTGGTGGTGATGGTGAGGGAGGGGAGGGTGGTGGTGACCCTGGTGGGTGGTGATGGTGAGGGAGGGGGGAGGGCAGTGGTGACCATGGGGGTTGGTGATGATGATGAGGGAGGGGAGTGAGGGAGGAAGGTGGGGGTGACCCTGGTGGGTGATGGTGGTGATGGTGGTGATGGTGAGGAGGGTGGTGGTGACCCCAGTGGGTGGTGATGGCGAGGGGGGGGAGCGAGGGGGGAGGGCAGTGGTGACCCTGGTGGGTGATGGTGGTGATGGTGAGGAGGGCGGTGGTGACCCTGGTGGGTGGTGCTGGTTGTGATGGTGGTGATGGTGAGGGAGGGGGGAGGGCAGTGGTGACCATGGTGGTGACCGTGGGTGGTGATGATGAGGAAGGGCAGCAAGGGAGGAAGGTGGGGGTGACTGTAGTGGGTGATGATGGTGGTGATGGTGAGGAGGGCGGTGGTGACCGTGGTGGGTGGTGCTGGTTGTGATGGTGGTGATGGTGAGGGAGTGGGGAGGGAGGTGGTGACCCTGGTGGGTGATGGTGGTGATGATGAATGAGTGGGGAGGGAGGTGGTGACCATGGGGGGTGGTGATGGTGAGGGAGGGGAGCAAGGGGGGAGGGTGATGGTGACCATGGTGGGTGGTGATGGTGGTGATGGTGAGGAGGGTGGTGGTGACCCTGGTGGGTGATGGTGGTGATGGTGATGGTGAGTGAGGGAGGAGGGAGGTGGTGACCGTGGTGGGTGATGGTGATGGTGAGGAGGGCAGTGGTGACCCTGGTGGGTGGTGATGGTGGTGATGGTGGTGCTGGTTGTGATGGTGAGGAGGGTGGTGGTGACTGTGGTGGATGGGGATGGTTGTGATGGTGGTGATGGTGAGGGAGGGAGGAGGGCGGTGGTGACCGTGGTGGGTGATGGTGACGGTGAGGAGGGCGGTGGTGACCGTGGTGGCTGATGACGGTGGTTGATGAGGACAGGGAAGGCACAGGCAGTGGAGATGCTGACCCACAGCTCCTCTCTCTCTCCTCCAGAGCGGCGATGACGAGGAGTACCGCAGGATTTACACCACCAAGATCAAGCCCCGGCTGAAGTCGGAGGAGGGGGCGGACGCCGAGGCCGGGGGGGGGACTCAGAGCAGAACCATCACGGTCACCAGGAAGGTCACGGCCTACACCGTGGACGTCAGCCGGCACGGCGGGGCCGGCGACGCCGCCATCCCCATCCCAGAGCTGACAGGAGGGCCGAGGATTCATCCAGAGAGCCAAATCCCCACAGGAGAAACTGGAAAAGCCGCCCAGAAAGGCTCTGGAGCGTTCCCGGCACCATCAGGGGCCGAGACCAACGGGCAGCTGGGAGAGCTGGAGGCGGCACTGCACGTCCAGGGGCCCAGGCTGGATGGCAAGGGACAATCCCCCTGCCTGCAGGGAGAGCTGGACGTGGGCAAGGTCAAGATTCCCACCTTAAAAATCCCCAAATTCGGGTTCGGGGCCGGCGGGGAAGCTCCGGCCCCCGACAGGGACGTCACCGTGCAGGTGACGGGGCCGGGGCTGTCCCAATCCTGGGACACAGCCGGGAAGGTCCCCTCCCCTCAGCCGGACCCCGAGGGCGCCAAGGGCAAGGTCCGGATCCCACACCTGCCCTTCCCCAAATTCACCGCCCGGGACTCGCGGGGGGACGGCCCCGCCCTGGACGTGGCGGTGCCCGAGGGGGAAGGTCCTGCCCTCAGGAAGGGGGAGACGCCCCAAATTTCCCTCTCCGACGTGAACTTGAGCCTGAAAGGCCCCCAGGGGAAGGGGGATCTGGGGGGTCACCATCCCCAAGGTGGGGGCAGGAGGAGGAGGAGGTGACCCCCCAGGACTCGGCCCCAAGGGGCTCCAGGTGGACGTGAAGGCCCCCCAGGTGGAGTTTGGGGGCGTCGGGGGGCGCGTGAAGGGCCCCGGGGTCGAGGTGGCCGTGAAGGGGTCGAAGGGAGAGGTCGGCGTTTCCGTCCCCACCATCGACGGCAACTTCAGAGGGCCCCAAGTGGAGCTCGAGGGGGCGAAGGTGCCCCAGATGAGCGTCAAGACCCCCCAGATCTCCGTGCCCGACGTTGACCTGAGCCTCAAAGGGCCCAAAGTGAAGGCAGACCTGGATGTTTCCACCCCCAAACTGGAAGGGGAGCTGAAAACCCCCGGCCTCGACATCAAGGGCCCCAAAGTCGACGTCGCCGCCCCAGACCTGGAGGTCCAAGGAGCTGAGGGCAAACTGAAGTTCCCCAAGCTGAAGATGCCCAAGTTTGGGGTGAAGGGAGAGGCCCCTGGAGTGGAGGTGGCTCTTCCCAAGGGGGAGGTGGACGTTTCCTGCCCCAAAGTGGACATTTCTGTCCCCAAAATGGACGTTTCCGGCCCCAAAATGGACATTTCTGTCCCCAAGGTGGATGTTTCTGGACCCAAAATGGACATTTCTGGCCCCAAGGTGGATGTTTCCGGCCCCAAGGTGGATGTCAACGTCCCCAGCGTGGACATCAAGGGCCCCAGGGTGGACATCGAGGCCCCTGACGTCGACATTCACGGCCCAGAGGGGAAGTTCAAGATGCCCAAGTTCAAGATGCCCAAGTTTGGGCTGCCCGGGGTCAAGGCCGAAGGGCCCGAGGTGGACATCGACGTCCCCCTGCCCGGGGCGGGCGTGGAGGGGCCGAGCGTGGCCATCCAAGGGCCAGAAGGCAAAGTGAGAGCCCCCGAGATGAACATCAAGGCCCCCAAGGTCTCCATGCCCGATGTTGACCTGAACCTCAACGGGGCCAAACCCAGGGGCGACCTCGACGCCTCCATCCCCTCCCTGGAGGGGCCCCAACTGGAGCTCCAGGGAGCTGAGGGCAAACTGAAGTTCCCCAAGCTGAAGATGCCCAAGTTTGGGGTGAAGGGAGAGGCCCCCGAGGTCGAGGTGGCCCTTCCCGAGGGCGGGGACGTCCACGGGAGCCTGAGGGGCCCCGGGGTGAAGGTGCCCGAGATGAGCATCAAGACCCCCCAGATCTCCGTGCCCGACATCGACCTGAGCCTCAAAGGGCCCAAAGTGAAGGCAGACCTGGATGTTTCCACCCCCAAACTGGAAGGGGAGCTGAAAACTCCCGGACTCGACATCAAGGGCCCCAAAGTCGACGTGGAAGGCCCAGACCTGGAGGTCCAGGGAGCTGAGGGCAAACTGAAGTTCCCCAAGCTGAAGATGCCCAAGTTTGGGGTGAAGGGAGAGGCCCCTGGAGTGGAGGTGGCTCTTCCCAAGGGGGAGGTGGACGTTTCCTGCCCCAAAGTGGACATTTCTGGCCCTAAAATGGACATTTCTGTCCCCAAGGTGGATGTTTCTGTCCCCAAAATGGACATTTCTGGCCCCAAAGTGGACATGTCTGTCCCCAAAATGGACATTTCTGTCCCCAAGGTGGATGTTTCTGTCCCCAAAATGGACATTTCTGGCCCCAAAGTGGACATGTCTGTCCCCAAGGTGGACATCAATGTCCCCAGCGTCGACATCGAAGGGCCTGAGGTGAAAGGCAAAGGTCTCAAGTTTAAAATGCCCGAACTGAACGTTCAGACCCCCAAACTGTCCATGCCGGACGTGGATCTGGGACTGAAGGCCCCAAAGCTCAAGGGGGACGTGGGAATTTCCCCTCCCAAGGTCTCTGGGGATCTGAAGGGCCCCAAAATAGAGGTGGAAGGTCCCAAGGTGGATGTGAAAGGCCCCAAAATGGACGTGAAGGGTCCCAGGGTGGACGTGGAAGTTCCCAGGGTGGACGTGGAGGTGCCCGAGGTGGACTTGGAGTGCCCGGAGGGGAAGGTGAAAGGCCCCAAGTTCAAGATGCCCAAACTGAACCTCAAGTCTCCCAAAATCTCGATGCCGGATGTGGACCTGAACCTGAAGGGCCACAAAGTGAAGGGCGAGGTGGACGTTTCCCTCCCCGGGGTCGAAGGAGACCTCAAGGGCCCCAAAATCGACGTGGAGGCCCCGGACGTCGACCTGGAGTGTCCGGAGGCCAAACTGAAGATGCCCAAAATGAAGCTGCCCCATTTCCAGGTGTCAGGGCCCAGGCTGGAGGGAGCAGAGGTCGATGTGGACCTGCCCAAGGCCGAGCTGGAGGTGTCCGGGCCGGAGGTGGACGTGGAGGGACCGGAGGTGGAGGCGGGAGGGGTGGAAGGAAAATGGAAAGGCCCCAAGTTCCGGATGCCGAAGTTGAACATCAAAACCCCCAAAATCTCGGTGCCGGATGTGGATCTGAACCTGAAGGGCCCCAAAGTGAAGGGAGAGGTGGATGTGGAAGCTCCAAAGGTCGAAGTGGACGTGAAAGGGCCAGAGATGGACGTGAAGGGGCCAAAGGTGGATGTCGAGGTGCCCAACCTGGACTTGGAGGGACCCCAGGGGAAGGTGAAGGGCCCCAAGTTCAAGATGCCCGAGATGCACATCAAGGCCCAAAAGATCTCCCTGCCCGACGTCGACATCAACCTGAAGGGCCCCAAAGTCAAGGGAGACGTGGATGTGTCACTCCCAAAGCTGGAGGGTGACCTGAAGGGCCCTGACCTGGACATCAAGGGCCCCAAGGTGGACATCGAGGCCCCTGATGTCGACATTCACGGCCCAGAGGGGAAGTTCAAGATGCCCAAGTTCAAGATGCCCAAATTTGGGCTGTCTGGGGTCAAGGCCGAAGGGCCCGAGGTGGACATGACGCTGCCGACAGGAAACCTGGATGTGTCCGGTCCCAAGGTGGACATTGAAGGCCCAGAGGTGGACATTGAAGGTCCTGAAGGAAAAGTGAAGGGCCCCAAGTTCAAGATGCCTGAGATGCATTTTAAGACCCCCAAAATCTCCATGCCCGACATTGACTTGAACTTGAAGGGCCCCAAAGTGAAGGGAGATGTGGATGTGTCAGTACCAAAGCTGGAAGGTGACCTGAAGGGCCCAGACATTGACATCAAGGGCCCCAAAGTCAACGTTGAGGCCCCTGATGTCGACATTCACGGCCCAGAGGGGAAATTCAAGATGCCCAAGTTCAAGATGCCCAAGTTTGGAATGCCCGGGGTCAAGGCCGAAGGGCCCGAGGTGGACGTGACGCTGCCGACAGGAAACCTGGATGTGTCTGGTCCCAAGGTGGACATCGAAGGTCCAGAGGTGGATGTTGAGCTGCCCGAGGGGAAGGTGAAGGGCCCCAAGTTCAAGATGCCCGAGATGCACTTTAAGACCCCCAAAATCTCGATGCCTGATGTCGACTTCAACCTGAAGGGCCCCAAAGTCAAAGGTGATCTTGATGTGTCTGTTCCCAAACTGGAAGGTGACCTGAAGGGCCCAGACATTGACATTAAGGGGCCCAAAGTCGATGTTGATCTTCCTGATGTTGAGCTGGAAGGGCCTGAAGGGAAACTGAAGGGCCCCAAGTTCAAGATGCCCGAGATGCACATCAAGGCCCCCAAGATCTCCATGCCTGACGTCGACTTCAACCTGAAGGGCCCCAAAGTCAAAGGGGACATCGATGTGTCAGTGCCTAAACTGGAAGGTGACCTGAAGGGCTCTGACTTGGACATCAAGGGCCCCAAGGTGGACATCGAGGCCCCTGACGTCGACATTCATGGCCCGGAGGGGAAGTTCAAGATGCCCAAGTTCAAGATGCCCAAATTTGGGGTCCCCGGTTTCAAAGCAGAGGGACCCGAGGTGGACGTGACGCTGCCGACAGGAAACCTGGATGTGTCCGGTCCCAAGGTGGACATCCAAGGTCCAGAGGTGGACATTGAAGGTCCTGAAGGAAAAGTGAAGGGCCCCAAGTTCAAGATGCCTGAGATGCACTTTAAGACCCCCAAGATCTCGATGCCTGACATTGATTTGAACTTGAAGGGCCCCAAAGTGAAGGGAGATGTGGATGTTTCTGTTCCCAAACTGGAAGGTGACCTGAAGGGCCCTGACTTGGACATCAAGGGCCCCAAGGTGGACATCGAGGCCCCTGACGTCGACATTCACGGCCCGGAGGGGAAGTTCAAGATGCCCAAGTTCAAGATGCCCAAGTTTGGGCTGAAGGGAGAAGGCCCCGAGCTGGACGTGGCGCTGCCCAAGGGGGACGTCGACGTTTCCCTGCCCAAGGTGGACGTGGAGATGCCGAGCGTGGACATTGAAGGTCCTGAGGGGAAACTCAAGGGCCCCAAGTTCAAGATGCCCGAGATGAACATCAAGACCCCCAAAATCTCGATGCCCGACATCGACCTGAACCTGAAGGGCCCCAAGATCAAGGGTGACGTCGATGTTTCTGTTCCCAAACTGGAGGGTGACCTGAAAGGTCCGGATGTGAATATTAAAGGTCCGAGGGTGGATGTCGACGTTCCCGATGTCGACCTTGAAGGCCCCGAGGGGAAATGGAAAGGGCCCAAGTTGAAAATGCCGGAGATGAACATCAAGGCCCCGAAATTTTCCATGCCCGACATCGACCTCAACTTGAAAGGCCCCAAAGTGAAGGGGGATGTGGATGTTTCCATCCCCAAAAATAGAGGGTGAGGTGAAAGTGCCGGAGGTGGAGTTGAAAGGACCCAAAGTGGACGTGGATGTTCCTGACGTGGAACTTGAGCTGCCTGAGGGGAAGATCAAGGGCCCCAAGTTCAAGATGCCCGAGATGAACATCAAAGCCCCCAAAATCTCCATGCCAGACTTTGACCTGAACCTGAAGGGCCCCAAAGTGAAGGGGGACGTGGACGTGTCCCTTCCCAAGCTGGAGGGAGACCTGAAAGGTCCTGACGTTGAAATCAAGGCCCCCAAAGTCGACGTCGACCTTCCTGACGTGGAGCTGGAAGGGCCTGAAGGAAAATTGAAGGGCCCCAAGTTCAAGATGCCCGAAATGCATTTTAAAGCCCCCAAAATCTCGATGCCGGACTTTGACCTGAACCTGAAGGGCCCCAAAGTGAAGGGGGACGTGGATGTGACAGTCCCGAAAATTGAAGGTGACTTGAAGGGCCCAGACCTCGACATCAAGGGCCCCAAACTGGATGTCAACGTGCCCGACGTCGACCTCGAGTGTCCGGAAGCGAAGCTGAAGGGCCCCAAGTTCAAGATGCCCGAGATGCACTTCAAGACCCCCAAAATCTCCATGCCCGACATCGATTTGAACCTCAAAGGCCCCAAACTCAAGGGGGACGTGGATGTTTCCGCCCCCAAACTGGAGGGGGACCTGAAGGGCCCAGAACTGGACATCAAAGGCCCCAAACTGGACATCGAAGCTCCTGACGTGGACATTGAGCTGCCAGAGGGGAAGGTGAAGGGCCCCAAGTTCAAGATGCCCGAGATGCACTTCAAGGCCCCCAAAATCTCCATGCCCGACTTTGATCTGAACCTGAAGGGCCCCAAAGTGAAGGGGGACGTGGATGTGTCCCTGCCCAAGCTCGAAGGGGACCTGAAGGGGCCGGAGGTTTCACTGAAAGGCCCCAAAGTGGACGTCGAGGCTCCAGACATTGAGCTGGAATGTCCAGAGGGGAAGATCAAGGGCCCCAAGTTCAAGATGCCCGAGATGAACATCAAGGCCCCCAAAATCTCCATGCCGGACTTTGATCTGAACCTGAAGGGCCCCAAAGTCAAGGGGGATGTGGATGTTTCCCTTCCTAAGGTGGAAGGTGACCTGAAGGGCCCAGATATCGACATCAAGGGCCCCAAAGTCGATGTTGATCTCCCCAGTGTTGAGCTGGAAGGACCTGAGGGGAAGGTGAAGGGTCCCAAGTTCAAGATGCCCGAGATGCATTTTAAGACCCCCAAAATCTCGATGCCCGACATCGACTTGAACTTGAAAGGTCCCAAAGTGAAAGGAGACGTGGATGTGTCAGTGCCTAAACTGGAGGGTGACCTGAAGGGCCCTGACCTGGACATCAAGGGCCCCAAGGTGGACATCGAGGCCCCTGACGTCGACATTCACGGCCCGGAGGGGAAGTTCAAGATGCCCAAGTTCAAGATGCCCAAGTTTGGGCTGAAGGGAGAAGGCCCCGAGCTGGACGTGGCGCTGCCCAAGGGGGACGTCGACGTTTCCCTGCCCAAGGTGGATGTGGAGATGCCGAGCGTGGACGTTGAGGGTCCCGAGGGGAAGGTGAAGGGCCCCAAGTTCAAGATGCCCGAGATGCATTTTAAGACCCCCAAAATCTCAATGCCCGACATCGACTTGAACTTGAAAGGCCCCAAAGTGAAGGGAGATGTGGATGTTTCTGTTCCCAAACTGGAGGGTGACCTGAAAGCCCCAGACATCAACATCAAGGGGCCCAAAGTCAACGTTGACCTTCCTGACGTCGACTTGGAAGGACCTGAAGGAAAACTGAAGGGCCCCAAGTTCAAGATGCCCGAGATGCACATCAAGGCCCCCAAGTTCTCCATGCCCGATGTCGACTTCAACCTGAAGGGCCCCAAGATCAAGGGAGATGTGGATGTGTCACTGCCCAAAGCTGGAGGGTGACCTGAAGGGCCCTGACCTGGATATCAAGGGCCCCAAGGTGGACATCGAGGCCCCTGACGTCGACATCCACGGCCCAGAAGGCAAAATCAAGATGCCCAAGTTCAAGATGCCCAAGTTTGGCTTTTCTGGCCCCAAAGTTGAAGGCCCCGAGGTGGACGTGACGCTGCCGACAGGAAACCTGGATGTGTCCGGTCCCAAGGTGGACATCGAAGGTCCAGAGGTGGATGTTGAGCTGCCCGAGGGGAAGGTGAAGGGCCCCAAGTTCAAGATGCCCGAGATGCACATCAAGGCCCCCAAGTTCTCCATGCCTGACGTCGACTTCAACCTGAAGGGCCCCAAATTGAAAGGGGACGTCGATGTTTCTGTTCCAAAACTTGAGGGAGATTTGAAAGCCCCAGACATTGACATCAAGGGCCCCAAAGTCGATGTCGATCTCCCCAACGTTGAGCTGGAAGGGCCTGAGGGGAAGATCAAGGGCCCCAAGTTCAAGATGCCCGAGATGCACATCAAGGCCCCCAAAATCTCCATGCCCGACATCGATTTCAACCTAAAAGGTCCCAAGGTCAAGGGTGATGTGGATGTGTCTCTGCCCAAGATGGAAGGTGACCTGAAGGGCCCAGACATTGACATCAAAGGCCCCAAAGTCAATGTTGACCTTCCTGATGTTGAGCTGGAAGGACCTGAGGGGAAGGTGAAGGGCCCCAAGTTCAAGATGCCCGAGATGCACATCAAGGCCCCCAAGATCTCCATGCCCGACGTCGACTTCAACCTGAAGGGTCCCAAAGTGAAGGGAGATGTGGATGTGTCAGTGCCTAAACTAGAAGGTGACCTGGACATCAAAGGCCCCAAGGTGGACATCGAGGCCCCTGATGTCGACATTCATGGCCCAGAGGGGAAGTTCAAGATGCCCAAGTTCAAGATGCCCAAATTTGGAATGCCCGGGGTCAAGGCCGAAGGGCCCGAGGTGGACGTGACGCTGCCGACAGGAAACCTGGATGTGTCCGGTCCCAAGGTGGACATCGAAGGTCCAGAGGTGGATGTTGAGCTGCCCGAGGGGAAGGTGAAGGGCCCCAAGTTCAAGATGCCCGAGATGCACATCAAGGCCCCCAAGTTCTCCATGCCTGGTTTTGGGGGTTTTTTTTAGCCCGAAAAAAGTGTTTTGGGGAATCTGGGAAAAGTTTCTTTCCTGAGGGTTGGTTTTTGTTGGTTTTTTTTCTTTTTTTGGGGGGACTTAAATAAATAATAAAAAAAAGCCAAAAAAAAAAAGTCCTAAAAAAAATGTAAATAAAAAAATAAATAATAAAAAAAAGTCCCCTTTGCAGCACTTTACCGGCGAATTAACGGGAGGCAAATGAGGAAATGAGGGTGGAAAAATGCAAAGAAATGCAAATAAAAATGTTTATTAACCGCGACACTGCAGTTTGGTGGATTTTGGGGAGAGGTTGGGGGGTTATTTCAGCTCAAATTTTGGGGGGTTTTACCCTCGAGATGCTCCTGGGACCCCTCCCCAAGCCTGGATTTGGGGTCACGACCCCCCCCCCCTTAAAACTCAGATTTAGGGTCACAACCCCCCCAGTGTCCCCTCCCCCTCTGGGATTTGGGGGATCCTCCCAGCCCCCAATTTGGGGGTCACCGCCCCAGCCCCCAGATTTGGGGTCCCTCCCACCTTGTCCCCTCCGTCCCCCCATATTTTGGGCCCTCATTGTGCCCCATCCCCCAAAGGGGGTTTTGCCCCTCCCTTCCACCCTAAAAAGTCTTCTTGCCCCTCCCCTCAATTAAGGTCGGGTTTGACCCAAAATCCCCCCAAATCCCTCAAAGAGGGACCCCCCAAAATCCCCTCCTTTTAATCCCCAGGACCCCCCAATTAAGAGCCTTCTTACACCCCCAGCCCACAAGGGGGCGCTGTTTCCCGGATAGGAGCGGCACTTCCGGGTAAGGGCGTGGGTTTTGCCCCAGTGCGTGATGGGAAATGTAGTCCTGAAGCAAAATGGCGGTCAAAGTGTCCGCCATGTTGTTCTGCCTCCGTGGTGCTTGATGGGAAATGTAGTCCCGAACCAATGGGGTAGCAGGGCGGGGTTTGACGGCCATGTTGTCGCGGTGCATGCTGGGAGCTGTAGTTCTGTCTTTAAGGGGTGTGGTTTGTCGGCCATGTTGCCGCGGTGCATGCTGGGAGTTGTAGTTCTCGCTGTAACCCCTCCTATCTCAGTTCTGCTTCCGGGGTGATTACTGGGCTGTACTGGTGGTTACTGGGTTGAACTGGTGGTCACTGGGCTGAACTGGATGCGGCTCCTCCCACCTCCCCATCGCCATGGCAACCAGAGGCATCATGGGTAGGCGGCCATCTTTATTGAGGGCACAGCACCCAGGGGTGCAGGGACAGAGGTGTCCAAAGGGGATCCAGGTGTTCATTTTGGGGGGATCCAGGTGTTCATTTTGGGGGGATCCAGGTGTCCATTCTGGGGGGGTCCAGGTGTCCAAAGGGGATCCAGGTGTCCATTTTGGGGGGTCCAGGTGTCCATTTTGGGGGATCCAGGTGTCCATTCTGGGGGGGATCCAGGTGTCCATTTTGGGGGGATCCAGGTGTCCATTCTGGGGGGGTCCAGGTGTCCATGTTGGGGGGATCCAGGTGTCCATTTTGGGGGGATCCAGGTGTCCAAAGGGGATCCAGGTGTCCATTTTGGGGGGTCCAGGTGTCCATTTTAGGGGGATCCAGGTGTCCATTTTGGGGGGATCCAGGTGTCCATTTGGGGGGGATCCAGGTGTCCATTTTGGTGGGATCCAGGTGTCCATGTTGGGGGGATCCAGGTGTCCATTTTGGGGGGATCCAGGTGTCCATTCTGGGGGGATCCAGGTGTCCATTCTGGGGGGATCCAGGTGTCCATGTTGGGGGGATCCAGGTGTCCATTCTGGGGGGATCCAGGTGTCTATGTTGAGGGGGATCCAGGTGTCCATTCTGGGGGGATCCAGGTGTTCATTTTGGGGGGTCCAGGTGTCCATTCTGGGGGGATCCAGGTGTCCATTTTGGGGGGATCCAGGTGTCCATGTTGGGGGGAAATCCAGGTCTCTGGAAGGGATCCAGGTGTGCAGGTCAGGGAGCTCCAGGTGTGCAGGTGGAAGAGATCAAGGTGTGCAGGTCAGGACAATCCAGGTGTCCATCAGAGGGTCTCCAGGGGGGTCAGGTGTCCATGGCGGGGTCTTGAGGAGGGTCAGGTGTCCATGGGGTTACCCCAGGTGGGTCAGGTGTCTATCAGGTGACCCCAGGAGTGTCAGTTGTCTATCAGGTGACCCCAGGCAGGTCAGGTGTCCATGGGGTGACCCCAGGTGGGTCAGGTGTCCATCAGGTGACCCCAGGAGTTCAGGTGTCCATCAGGTGACCCCAGGAAGGTCAGGTGTCCATAGGGGGTCTCCAGGAGGGTCAGATGTCCATGGGGTGACCCTGGGAGGCTCAGGTGCCCCCAAGATGCTCAGGTGCCCAGGTGAGGGTCTCCAGGGGTGTCAGGAGCCCAGGTGAGTGTCGCCAGGATGTTCAGGTGCCCCCAGGATGTTGAGGAGCCCAGCTGAGGGTTCCCCAGGGGGTTCAGGTGCCCCCAAGACGCTCAGGTGCCCAGGTGAGGGTCCCAGGGGGCTCAGGTGCCCCCAGCAGATTCAGGAGTCCAGGTGAGGGCTCCCAGGGGCCCAGGCCCAGGTGAGTGTCCCCAGGGGGCCCTGGTGCCCCAGAGGTCCAGGTGCCCCCAAGACGCTCAGGTGCCCAGGTGAGTGTCTCCAGGAGGCTCAGGTGCCCCCAGGATGTTCAGGTGCCCAGGTGAGGGTCCCCAGGGGGTTCAGGAGCCCAGGTGAGGGCCCCCAGGGGGTTCAGGTGCCCCCAAGGGGTTCAGGTGCCCCCAAGAGGCTCAGGTGCCCAGGTGAGGGTCCCCAGGGGGTTCAGGTGCCCCTAGCAGGATGTTCAGGTGCCCAGGTGAGGGTCCCCAGGGGGTTCAGGTGTCCCCAGGATGTTCAGGTACCCCCAGGATGTTCAGGTGCCCAGGTGAGGGTTCCCCAGGGGGTTCAGGTGCCCCCAGGATGTTCAGGAGCCCAGGTTCAGGTACCCAGGTGAGGGTTCCCCAGGGGGTTCAGGTGCCCCCAGGATGTTGAGGAGCCCAGGTTCAGGTGCCCAGGGGGTTCAGGTGCCCCCAGCAGGTTCAGGTGCCCCCAACAGGTTCAGGTGCCTCCAGGAGGTTCAGGTGCCCAGGTGAGTGTCCCCAGGAGGCTCAGGTGCCCCCAGCAGGTTCAGGTGCCCAGGTTCAGGTGCCCCCAGGATGTTCAGGTGCCCCCAGCAGGTTCAGGTGCCCCCAGCAGGTTCAGGTGCCCAGGTGAGGTTCCCCAGGGGGTTCAGGTGCCCCCAGCAGGTTCAGGTGCCCCCAGCAGGCTCAGGTGCCCAGGCTCAGGTGCCCAGGGGTGTCAGCAGCGCCGGGCCGAGCCGGGGTAGCGCCGGGAGAGGTCGGCGCGGAAGCTCCGGAAGAGGCGCCGGTTGTGGCCCAGCTCGGCCTCGCGGCCCCCGTGGAACCCCCCGGGCTCTTTGAAGCCCCGGTGGGCAACGAAGGCCCCGTCCAGCACCGCGAAACGGAACCCGGCCACGTGCAGCTCGCAGGCCTGGGGGGGGAAAAAAGAGAGGGAGGGGGGCACAGCGTCACCCCACGGGACACCAGAGCGCCCCATGACACCCCCAGAGCGCCCCACAGCACCCCCAGAGTACCCCATGACACTCAGAGCATCCCATGGCACTCCCAGAGTACCCCATGGCACCCAGAGCGCCCCATGGCACCCCAGAGTGCCCCATGGCACCCCCCATGGCACCCAGAGCACCCCACGGGACCCCAGAACACCCCATGGCACCCCCACAGCACCCCAGAGCACCCCACAGCATCCCAGAGCGCCCCGTGGCACCCCCAGAGTAACCCATGGCACCCCCAGAGTATCCTATGGCACCCAGAGCGCCCCATGGCACCCCCAGAGCACCCCATGGCACCCCCAGAGTACCCCACAGCACTCCAGAGCGCCCCATGGCACCCCCAGAGTACCCTATGGCACTCAGAGCATCCCATGGCACCCCACGGTACCCCAGAGCGCCCCATGGCACCCCCAGAGCACCCCACAGCACCCTAGAGCACCCCATGGCACCCCCCATGGCACCCAGAGCACCCCATGGCACCCCCAGAGTACCCCATGGCACCCCCAGAGCTCCCCATGGCACCCCCAGAGTACCCCACAGCACTCCAGAGCGCCCCATGGCACCCAGAGCACCCCATGGCACCCCCAGAACACCCCACGGGACCTCAGAGCGCCCCATGGCACCCCAGAGTGCCCCATGGCATCCCCAGAGCGCCCCATGGCACCCCCCATGGCATCCAGAGCACCCCATGGCACCCCCAGAACACCCCATGGCACCCCCAGAGTACCCCATGGTACCCCAGAGCACCCCAGAGTGCCCCATGGCACCCCCAGAGCGCCCCATGGCACCCCCCATGGCACCCAGAGCACCCCCAGAGCACCCAGTGATGCCCCACAGACCCTCTATAGCCTCCCCAACCCCCAAGACCACCCCATGGCCACCCCAAGACCACCAAGAGCACAGCAAGGACCCCCAACCCCATGACCACCCCAACCCCAATGACCACCCCATGGCCATCCCAAGACAACCCCCAAGGCCACCCCAAGGTCCCCCCAACCCCATGATCACCCCATGGCCACCTCAAGACCACCAAAGCTACCCCAAGACCCCCAAGGCCACCCCAACCCCACGACCACCCCATGGCCACCCCAAGACCACCATGGCCACCCGAAGGTCCCCCAACACCATGACCACCCCATGGCCACCCCAAGACCCCCAAGGCCACCCCAAGGTCCCCCCAACCTCCATGACCACCCCATGGCCTCCCCAAGACCACCCAGGCCAACCCAAGGTCCCCCAACCTCCATGACCACCCCATGGCCACCCCAAGACCACCAAGGCCACTCCCAAGGTGCCCCCAACCCCCAGAACCACCCCTGACCCCCAAGGCCACCCCAAGGTGCCCCAACCCCCACGACCACCCCATGGCCACCCCAAGACCACCAAGGCCACCCCAACCCCCACGACCACCCCATGGCCACCCCAAGACCACCAAGGCCACCCCAAGGTCCCCCCAACCCCCACGACCACCCCTGACCACCCTGACCACCAAGGCCACCCCAGGTGCCCCCAACCCCACGACCACCCCAGGTGCCCCCAACCCCAATGACCACCCCATGGCCACACTAAGACCCCCAAGGCCACCCCAAGGTGCCCCCAACCCCTGTGACCACCCCGTGAAGACCCCCAAGGCCCCTCACCCCCCACCCCCGCCCCTCCCCGACCTGGCTGATGCGGTTGAAGCCGTACTGGAGGAACCTCTCGTCGAAGGGGGGGACCCCCCGGGCGGGGGCCACGTAAAAGGGCTCCCAGGGGTCCCTCCAGGGCACCTCGTAGGCCACGCGCGGCCGGGGGGGCGGGGGCAGCGCCCGCCAGCGCCCGAAGTCGGTGGGGGCCTGGCAGCGGGGGCACAGCGCCCCGTAGAACGGCCGGGCTGCCCCCTTGGCCCACAGGCCCAGCAGAGCCGCCTTCGAGGCCGGGACCCCCCTTCCGGAACGAACCTCGAAGGCGGGGAGGACGAAGACCACCCGGGAGTCGGGGTCCTCCGGGGAGGGGGGGTCTCTCGGGGTGTTGGGGTCTCTCAGGGAGTTGGGGTCTCTCGGGGTGTTGGGGTCTCTCGGGGTGTTGGGGTCTCTCGGGGTGTTGGGGTCCCTCAGGGATTTGGGGACCTCCAGAGTGTTGGGGTCTCTCAGGGAGTTGGGGTCCCTCAGGGAGTTGGGGTCTCTCAGGGATTTGGGGACCTCCAGGGTGTTGGGGTCCCTCAGGGAGTTGGGGTCCCTCAGGGTGTTGGGGTCCCTCAGGGAGTTGGGGTCCCTCAAGGCATTGGGGTCCCTCAGGGATTTGGGGTCTCTCAGGGTGTTGGGGACCTCCAGGGTGTTGGGGTCCCTCAGGGAGTTGGGGACACCCAGGTCATGGAAGCCCCTGGAGACCTCCAGGGCATTGGGGTCCCTCAGGGATTTGGGGACCTCCAGGGTGTTGGGGACCCTCAGGGTGTTGGGGTCCCTCAGGGAGTTGGGGTCCCTCAGGGAGTAGGGATCCCTCAGGGTGTTGGGGTCCCTCAGGGATTTGGGGTCTCTCAGGGTTTTGGGGATCTCCAGGGTGTTGGGGTCCCTCAGGGAGTTGGGGACCCTCAGGGTGTTGGGGTCCCTCAGGGAGTTGGGGACCCTCAGGGTGTTGGGGTCCCTCACGGTGTTGGGGACTTCCAGGGTGCTGGGGTCTCTCAGGGAGTTGGGGACCTCCAGGGTGTTGGGGTCCCTCAGGGAGTTGGGGACCTCCAGGGTGTTGGGGTCCTTCAAGGCACTGGGGTCCCTCAGGGAGTTGGGGACACCCAAGTCATGGAAACCCCTGGGGTCTCTCAGAGAGTTGGGGTCCCTCAAGGCATTGGGGTCCCTCAAGGCATTGGGGTCCCTCAGGGAGTTGGGGTCCCTGGGGGCCTCCAGGTCTCCGGAGTCCTTTGGGACATCAGGGTTTGTCAGGACTTTGGGGTCCCCCAGGGCATTGGGGACCCCCAGGGTGGAGGAGCCCTTGGGGTCTGCCAAAGCTTTGGGGTCCTTCAGGACTTTGGGGTCTCCCAGGACAGCAGGGACCTCCAGGGCGTTGGGGACTTTGGGGCCACCCAGAACTTTGGGGTCCCCCAAACCCCCCTGCACCCCAAAACCCTCCTGACCCCCCAAAGCTTTGGGGTCCCCCAAACCCCCCTGACCCCACAAAGCTTTGGAGTCCCCCAAACCCCCTGACTCCCCCAAAGCTTTGGGTTCCCCCTGGACCCCTCCAAGGCACTGGGGCCCCCAAACCCTGCAACCCCCCAGCCGGGGTGCCCCACCTCTCCCACCCCCCTTGGCCGGGGGTCCCCCAGCTTTGGGTCCAGCCCCCTCCCTGAGCAGCTGCAGGAACCCTCTCTCAGCCCCGGGCTGGGCACCACGTCAGCGTCCACCAGCAGCACGAAACGACCCCCCAAAAATCTGGGTCCCCTGTGCCCCCTCCCCCCATTTCTGCCGTGGCCGCCCCTCCCAAGCCACGTTTCGGAGGAGATTCCTGGGTACGGCACCCCAGGGCGTAGCTGGGGGTCGCTGCTCTCCAGGCGCTTCAGAGCCCCCCGACACCCCCCGCTTTTGGGGGCCGGCCCTGGAGGGGGAGGGTCGCGATGGGGAGGCGACGCCGCCCCTGTCACCACGTGCAGCCTGAGGCGGCCCCGCAGCCCCCGGCAGGGACCCCCCAAAACCGCCAGCAGCTCCTCCAACCTCCCGGGGCACCCCAAAACGGCCACCGAGAGGGGACCCCCACGACCCCCCAGCGCCGCCGCCGCCCGGCCCGGAGTGCCGTGGGTGGCCAGGACCAGCTCGGGGGTCCCACGCGGGGGGCCCAGCACGTCCCGGTACACGCGGAACGAGCCCGACGCGTCCAGGACCCCACGCGGGGTCGCGGGGCGTGGGGGCGGGGGCGGCCCCGTGGGGGTCGCGGGAGGCAGAGCCCGCAGGTAGAGGGTCTGCAGCAGGCCAGCTCCCCCAGCAGCCACGCGCAGCCCCCAGGAGACGCGCCCCTGGCCCATCGGGGGCAGTGGGAGGGACTGGGAGGGGACTGGGAGGGACTGAGGGGAACTGGGGCACTGGGAGTGGGGTACAGAGGATGCTGGGGGCACTGGGAGGGGGCTGGGGCACTGGGGGCACTGGGAGGGGCTAGGAGGGACTGGAAGGGAACTGGGGCACTGGGAGTGCGCTGGGGCACTGGGAGGGGGTGCTGGGGATGCTGGGGACACTGGGAGAGCTGGGAGGGACTGGAGGGAACTGGGGGCACTGGGATGGGGGTGCTGGGGATGCTGGGGGACACTGGGAGAGAGCTGGGAGGGACTGGAAGGAACTGGGGGCACTGGGAGGGCGCTGGGGGCACTGGGAGGGGGGTACAGAGGATGCTGGAAGGCACTGGGAGGGGGCTGGGGGCGCTGGGGGCACTGGGATGGGGGTGCTGGGGATGCTGGGGGGCACTGGGAGAGATCTGGGAGGGACTGGAAGGAACTGGGGGCACTGGGAGGGGCTGGGGCACTGGGAGGGGGTACAGGGGATGCTGGGGGCACTGGGAGTGCGCTGAGGGCACTGGGAGGGGGTACAGGGGATGCTGGGGACACTGGGAGAGATCTGGGAGGGACTGGAAGGGAACTGGGGGCACTGGGAGGGGGGTACAGGGGATGCTGGGGGGCACTGGGAGAGGGTGGGGGAGTCTGGGGCCACTGGGAGGGTGCTGGGGGCTACTGGGGACTACTGGGGGTTACTGGGAAGGTACAGAGGTTTGTACTGGGAGGGTGCTGGGGGTTACTGGGAGGGTACTGGGGATCACTGGGAGGGTGCTGGGGGTTACTGGGAGGGTGTTGGGGGTCGCCGGGACCAGCGCGGAGCCGGGACCAGCAGGACATGCTGGAAGCGCTGCGGGATCACTGGGACCAGTAAGGGCTTACTGGGACCAGTCTGGGGGTCACTGGGACCAGTTTGGTGACGGGGAGGAGGGACTGGGATCAGTCCGGCGGTCACTGGGACCAGTTTGGGGGGGTCACTGGGACCAGTTTGGGGACGGGGAGGAGGGACTGGGATCAGTCCGGGGGTCACTGGGACCAGTTTGGGGGGGTAACTGGGACCAGTCCGGGACTCACCCACCGCGTCACTGTCGGGACTCACCGCGCGTGCGCGGGGAGGGGTGGGGCGTAGCCACAGCGCTCGGGGGCGGGCTTAACACTCAGAGGGCGTGGCTTTGTGCCACGGGGGCGGGGTTTGGGCGTTCGGGGGCGTGGCCTGTCAGTCTCGGACCCCTGAGACCCCCAGAATCCAGGGACCCCCCAAATTCCTGGGATCCCCAAAATTCCTGAGATCCTCTCACATTCGTGAGACACCTCCCCAACTCCTGGGACCCCCTCCTCAAATCTCCTGGGACCCCCGAATTCCTGGGACCCTCCAAATTCCTAAGACCCCTCAAATTCCTGGGACCCTCCCCAAAATCCTGGGACCTCCCCCAAATCTCCAGGGCACTCCCAAATTCCTGGACCCCCCACTCCCCATTCCTGGGCAACCCTAAATTCCAGGGCACTCCCAAATTCCTGGGATCCCCCCCAAATCCTGGGACCCCCAAATTCCTGGGATCCCCCAATTCCTGTGGACCCCCCAATTCCTGGCCCCCCATCCTCAAACTCCTGGTTACCCCCTCCCCATTCCCAATTTCCTCTAAAAATGCACATTTTCAGTCAACAGAGTGAAAATGAATCATTATTTACAGCAAGGGGACAAGTGGAGGTTTGAGGGGGTGTTTGGATTTTGGGGGTCTCAGAGCCCCGAACTCTTCCTTTTCTTAGCCCTGGAGGAGGGGATGGGCTCCAGGGTGTCCTCAAAGCTCGTCCCCTCCTCCTCTTTCACCTCAATTTGGGGAGGGGCTCCTCCTCAGCCTGGGGGACACAAACAAAAAAAGAGGGGGGTCAAAGGGTTAGGGGGACACCCCAGCCTCTCAAATCCCCCAAAAATTGAGGGGGCTCTCACCTGCCAGTCCAGGTGTGTGCTGAGCAGGAGGCAGGTGAGGCGCGACTTCAGGTACACCTGGGGGGAGGGAAAAGGGGGCCTCAGGGGATTTTGGGGGTCTCTGAGGGATTTAGGGGGACTGAGGGGGTCTCAGAGGTTTTAGGGTGGTTTCAGGGGTTTGGGGGTCTCAGGGGTTTTGGGGGTCTTGTGGATTTAGGGGGAGTTTCTAGAGGTTTGGGGGTCTCAGGGTTTAGGGGGACTGGGGGTCTCAGAGGTTTTAGGGTGGTTTCAGGGTTTTGGGGGGTCTCTAGGGTTTTGGGGGTCTCAGGGTTTGGGGGGTCTCAGGGGTTTTGGGGGTCTCAGGGTTTTGGGGAGTGTTTTAGGGGGTCTTGTGGATTTAGGGGAGTTTCAGAGGTTTGGGGGGTCTCTAGGGTTTAGGGGGACTGGGGGTCTCAGAGGATTTAGGGTGGTTTCAGGGTTTTGGGGGATGGTCTCAGGGGTTTTGGGGGTCTCAGGGGTTTTGGGGTGGTTTCAGGGGTTATGGGGGTCTCAGGGGTTTTGGGGGGTGTTTTAGGGGGTCTTGGGGATTTAGGGAAGTTTCAGAGGTTGGGGGTCCTCAGGGTTTGGGGTGGTCTCAGAGGTTTTAGGGTGGTTTCAGGGGTTTGGGGGGTCTCAGGGGTTATGGGGGTCTCAGGGGTTTTCGGGGTATTTTTGGGGGGTCTTGGGGATTTAGGGGAGTTTCAGATGTTTGGGGGATTTGGGGTGTCTCAGGTTCAGGGGGTTTGGGGTCCCACCTCAGCCGCAGCCCCCGTCCTGCAGGCTGTGGGGTTTGGGGGTCTCAGGGCTTAGGGGTTTGGGGGTCCCAGGGGGTTTGGGGGTCCCACCTTATGCCGCAGCCCCCCGTCCTGCAGGCTGTGGGGTTTGGGGGGTCTCAGGGTTTAGGGGGTTGGGGATTTGAGGGGGGTTTGGGGGTCCCAGGGGGGTTTGGGGTCCCACCTGTGCCGCAGCCCCCGTCCTGCAGGCTGTGGGGTTTGGGGGGTCTCAGGGTTTAGGGGGATTGGGGGTCTCTAGGGTTTAGGGGGTTTGGGGTCCCACCTTGTGCCACAGCCCCCGTCCTCGAGGCTGTGGGGTTTGGGGGTCTCAGGGTTTAGGGGGTTGGGGTCCCAGGGGTGTTTGGGGTCCCACCTTGTGCCGCAGCCCCCCATCCTCGAGGCCGTGGACCCTGAGGAAGCGGTCGAGGCCGCAGGAGGCGACGAGGGGCAGGTGGGGGTGGCACTGCAGCCCCCGCACCCCCGGCAAAGCCCTTCAGTGCCCGCAGCACCCGCCCTGGGGGCAGAGGGAGGTCAGGAGGAGGGGGAGGCTCAGACCCCTTTATTTGGGGTGGGGACTCCCAGACCCCCTCACCTTTGCGCAGGTCGATGACGGTCACGGCCCCCCGAGCGCTGCCCACGACCACCGACCTGGGACACAACAATTGGGATTTGGGGGAGGGGGAGCAGGAACATCTCCCCTTCCCCTGAGACCCCCAAGTCCCCCCGGATCCCCAGAGAGCCCCCCAGGAGCACTTTGTGCCCCCCAGTGACCCCAGAGTCCCCAAGGAACATTTTCTTCCCTCCCAGTGATCCCAGAGCCCCCCTCCCCACCAAAGAGCTCCCCAGGAGCACTTTGTGCCCCCCAAACCCTCCCCAGACCCCCCTGAGCCCCCCACCAGCACTGATGTGTCCCTCCAGGAGCACTTTGTGCCCCCCAGACCCCCTGTCACTGATGTGTCCCCCCAGGAGCACTTTGTGCCCCCCCAGATGCCCCAAACACCCCCAGAGCTCCCCCGACCCCCTAGCACTGACGTGTCCCCCCAGACACCCCCTGAGGCCCCCCAGCATTGACGTGTCCCTCCAGGAGCCCTTTGTGCCCCCCAAACCCTCCCAAACCCCTCCCAGCACTGATGTGTCCCCTCCAGGAGCACTTTGTGCCCCCCCAACCCCCCATCACTGATGTAACCCTCCAGGAGCCCTTTGTGCCCCCCCAAATCCTCCCCAAATCCCCCTGAGCCCCCCATCACTGATGTATCCCCCAGGAGCCCTTTGTGCCCCCCAGACCCCCCCAAACCCCTCCCAGCACTGATGTGTCCCCTCCAGGAGCACTTTGTGCCCCCCCAGATGCCCCAAACACCCCCCAGATGCCCCCTTGACCCCCCATCACTGATGTGTCCCCCAGGAGCCCTTTGTGCCCCCCTAGACCCCCCAAACCCCCCCAGCACTGATGTATCCCTCCAGGAGCACTTTGTGCCCCCCAAACCCCCCCAGCACTGATGTATCCTCCAGGAGCCCTTTGTGCCCCCCAAACCCCCCCAGCACTGATGTATCCCTCCAGGAGCCCTTTGTGCCCCCCCAAACCCCCCCAGCACTGATGTATCCCTCCAGGAGCACTTTGTGCCCCCCAAATCCTCCCCAGACCCCCTGAGCCCCCCATCAGCACTGATGTATCCCCCAGGAGCCCTTTGTGCCCCCCAGACCCCCCAAACCCCTCCCAGCACTGATGTGTCCCTCCAGGAGCACTTTGTGCCCCCCCAGATCCCCCTGAGCCCTCCCCAGCACTGATGTATCCCCCAGGAGCACTTTGTGCCCCCTAAGCCCCCCCAGCACTGATGTGTCCCCCCAGGAGCCCTTTGTGCACCCCCCAGACCCTCCCAAACCCCTCCCAGCACTGATGTATCCCCCAGGAGCACTTTGTGCCCCCCAAATCCCCCTGAGCCCCCCATCACTGATGTATCCCCCAGGAGCCCTTTGTGCCCCCCAAATCCTCCCCAAATCCCCCTGAGCCCCCCCATCACTGATGTACCCCCAGGAGCCCTTTGTGCCCCCCAGATGCCCCAAACACCCCCAGATGCCCCTTGACCCCCCCATCACTGATGTGTCCCTCCAGGAGCCCTTTGTGCCCCCCAAACCCCCCCATCACTGATGTGTCCCTCCAGGAGCCCTTTGTGCCCCCCAAATCCTCCCCCAGACCCCCTGAGCCCCCCCAGCACTGATGTATCCCCCAGGAGCCCTTTGTGCCCCCCAGAGCCCTCCAAACCCTCCCCAGCCCCCCAGCACTGATGTATCCCCCCAGCACTTTGTGCCCCCAGACCCCCAGACCCCCGACTGACGTGTCCCCTGGGGCAGCGCCAGCGCCGTCAGCGGGGCCTCCCGAGGGTCGTGTCCAGCACCGGCGCCGCCGGGGTCGAGGGGTCGTAGAGACGCACCTGGGACAGGTGTGGGGTGGGGTGGGGGCACAGGGGTCACCACCCTCCTTTCACCCTCCCACCCCCCCAGTGTGTCTCACCTGGGGTGGGGAGCTGCGAGTGACACCTACAGGTGACATCACCCACCCCCACCTGTCCCACACTGACTCACCTGGACAGGTGACACCTCCAGGTGTGACCTCCCAGATGACCCCCCAGGTGTGACCCCCACGTGTGACCCCCAAGGTGTGAACCCTCCATATTTGACCCCCTAGGTGTGACTTCAGGTGACTCTGTGTGTCCCCTAATCCTGTCCATGTCTCTTGCAGGTGATCCCCCAGGTGTGACTCCCCCAGGTGTGGCCCCCCAGGTGTGACCCCCCTTCCAGGTGTCCCTCTCCTGCCTCGTGCCCCGTGCACGTGACCCCAGGTGACCCCCCAGGTGCCCCCCAGGTGCCCCCAGGTGTGACCTCCCATGACCCCTGTATGACCCCCCCAGGTGACCCCCAGATGAACCCCAGAGTGTGACCCCAGGTGTGATCCTCCAGGTGTAACCCCCTCCAGGTGTGACCCCCAGGTGACCCCAGGTGTGACCCCAGATGACTCCCAGGTGACCTCTCACCTGTCCTCGTCCCTACAGGTGCCCCCCCAGGTGTGACCTCCCAGGTGTGACCCCCCCAGGTGTGACTCCCCAGGTGTGACCCCCAGGTGCCCCCTCACCTGCCCGTGCCCCCGTGTGCACGTGACCCCCAGGTGTGACTCCCCCAGGTGTGACCCCCAAGGTGTGATCCCCAGTTGTGACCCCCCAGGTGTGACTCCCTCAGGTGTGACCCCCAGGTGTGACCCCCCAGGTGTGACCCCCCAGGTGCCCCCTCACCTGCCCGGTGCCCCGTGCACGTGACCCCAGGTGTGACCCCCCAGGTGTGACCCCCCAAGGTGTGATCCCCAGTTGTGACTCCCAGGTGTGACCCCTCAGGTGTGACCCCCAGGTGTGACCCCCCAGGTGTGACCCCTCAGGTGTGACCCCTCCATGTGTGACCCCAGGTGTGCCCTCACCTGTCCCTGTCCCATACAAGTGACCCCCCAGGTGTGACCCCCAGATGTGACCCCCCAGATGTGACCCCCCAGGTGTGACCCTCCCAGATGACCCCCAGGTGTCCCCTCACCTGTCCCTGTCCCATACAAGTGACCCCCCAGGTGTGACCCCCAGGTGTGACCCCCAAGGTGTGACCCCCCCAGGTGTGACCCCCAGGTGCCCCCTCACCTGCCCGTGCCCCGTGCACGTGACCACCTTGTCGGATCCCGGCAGGAATTGCAGGTCCCGCTCCCAGATCGGCACCCGCAGGTCCAGCCAATCGTTCCTCACCTGGGGGGCAGGGGGTCGGGGGGCATTTGGGGGACATTTGGGGGCTCAGGGGGCATTTGGGGATGGGGGGTCAGGGGACATGGGGGGGCTCTGAGGGGACAGTGGGGACACTCCAGGACTGGGGGTGGGGAATCAGGACCATGAGGGGAGATTGGAGGGTCTTGGGGGTCAGAGGGGGTGAGGGACCCCAAGGGACATAGGGGGCTCAGGGGGTCCCACTCACGTTCCTGGCCTGGAAAGGGGGTGGGTGACACTGAGGGGCTCGAGGGGTTCAAGGGGGTCCCATTCACGTTCTTGGCCTGGAAAAGGGGGTTGGGTGACACTGGGGTTCAGGGGGCACTGGGTGACACTGGGGGTCAGGGCATGGATGACACTGGGGGTCAGGGGCAGTTTGGGTGACACTGGGGGTTCAGGGGCAGTGGGTGACATTGGGGGGTTCAGAGGGTCCCACTCACATTCCTGGCCCTGAACAGGTTGGGGATGACATTGGGAGCTCAGGGGGGTTCAGGGGGTCCCACTCACGTTCTTGGCCCTGAAAGGGGGTGGGTGACACTGGAGGGGTCGGGGGAGGTTCAGGGGGGTCCCACTCACGTTCTTGGCCCTGAAAAGGGGCTCCCCCGGGCGCTGCAGGTCCCAAACCTTGAGCCCGTTCTCCTTCCCCCCCGTCCCCACCCGGTGCGGCCGCGTCGGGTCCTGGCGCATCCGGCACAGCCCGGGGCCTGCTGACACCTCCAGGTGGGGCTGTGAATTGGGGGGGACACGGGGGGGTCACCCCAAAACTCTACAGACCCCCCTGAACCCCAAAAACCTCATAAATACCCTAAACCCCCCCAAAATCCCACCCCACCCCCGGCACAGCCCGGGGCCTGCCGACATCTCCAGGTGGGGCTATGATTTGGGGGGGGACATGGGGGAGTCACCCCAAAACCCTACAGACCCCCCTGAACCCCAAAAACCTCATAGATACCCCAAAACCCCCAAAAATCCCAACCTCCTTCACCGGCACAACCCGGGGCCTGCTGACACCTCCAGGTGGGGCTGTGATTGTGGGGGGACATGGGGGGGTCACCCCAAACCCCTACAGACCCCCCTGAACCCCAAAAACCTCATAGACAACCCCCAAAACCCCAAACCCCCCCAAAATCCCAGTCTTGGCCCATCCAGCACAACCTGAGCCTGCTGGGACCTCTGGCAATTGAGGGGGACATGGGGGGGTCATCCCAAAACCTACAGACCCCCTGAACCCCAAAAACCTCCAGAGCTCCCCCAAACCCCCAGGAACCCCCAAATCCAGGTCCTGGCTGGGAGCTCCATGTGGGGCTGGAATTTAGGGGAGGGGATTCACCCCAAATCCAACACAGAGCCCCCTGCACCCCAAAAATGGCCCTACAGAGCCCCTGCGCCCCAAAAACGGCTCCCAGGACCCCCCAAACCCCCCAAATTCACCTTCTCAGCCTCGTCCTCCCCCACAGCTGGATCAGCCCCGACTCCACACACGTCACGATGGGAGCTGGGGATTTGAGGGGGTTTGGGGGTTTGAGGGCCTTAGGGACCCCTCAGCCCCTGGTACCTGCTAAGAGCCCCAGCCCCCTCTCCCAACCAGGACCCACCCCCAGAACCTCCCCACACACACCCCAAAAGCCCCTCAGGACCCCCCGGTTCCTCCAGGACCCCCAGACCCCCTCAAGACCCTCAGGACCTCCCAAAGCCTCTGGGACACCCCCCGACCCCCAGGACCTCCCAAAAGCCTCTGGGACCCCCTCCAGACCCCTCTTGGACCCCCAGAGCCCCCGACCCCTCAAGAACACCCTGGACCCCCAAGAACCCCCCAAAATTCCTCCAAATCCTCCCAGGCCCTTCTGGACCCACCCGAACTCCACCCAGGACCCCTCCCAGACCCCCAAAATTTCTCCTGACCCTCCCTCAGCCCCTCCCTCCCCCGCCCCAAATACCTGCCCAAGACCCCCAGGCCGCAGAAGGGCCCGTCCCCCCCCGGGCACAGCCGGGACCCCACGAATTTCCCCTTCTCGGTGTTGAAGACCCTCACGGAGCGATCCAGGACCCCACGAGCACCTGGGGGAATTTGGGGGCTCAGGAGGGGTGTTGGGGGCTCAGGACCCCCCACACCGGGACCCCCCGACTCACCTCGGTCTGGGCGGGGTCCCCCCAGCACAGAGCGCAGACCCCCCGGCCCCGGCTCAGCCCCGACCCCCCCACGACGTTGGTGGCCACTTTTTTCTGCAGGTTCACACCTGGGGGGGGGCAGAATTTGGGGGGTTGGGGGGGTTGGACACCCCCAGGTCCCCCCCCCAGATCCCCTCGAGTCCCCTCAGGCCTCCCTGGACCCTCCCCAGGGCGGCACCTCCTGGATAACTGGACCCCCCTCAGGACCTCCTGGAGGCTCCTGGGCTCCCCAGACCCCCTGAGCATCCCAAACCCCCTCTGAGCCCCCAGACCCCCCTGAGCATCCAAACCCCTCCGAGCCCCCCAGACCCCCCAAAAACACCTTTAAAGGCGCCGGTCTCGGCCCCCACCCACACGTGGTTCACTCGCGTGGGCGCCGCCATCTTCGCGGTCCGTCACTCCCCACAGCCCCGGGTGGGAAACCGGGAAGGCGGCGAGGCCGTTCCGGGGCTAAACGGGCTCTCCGCGAGGTTTCGTTCCGCGCCTCGAAGGTTCCGGCGCCGGTAACGGGAGGGGAAAACGGGGAGGGGGTCTTAACCCCTCTTCCGTGACGCCCCCGGGTGGTAAAACCCGACCCCCTTCAAACGGGGAGTGCACCGGGAGGTGGCTGAGCCCTTGGTGGTCCTGCTGCACCCTCGGAAAATAAAAAAGACTTAAAAAAAAAACGAAGCTCGCGGTTTTGACAAAAATAGCGATTTTTAAATCGCATCAGCGAGAGATGCGCTGGGGGAAGGGGGGCAGAAAGCGGGAGGAGAGGGGGAGAGGACCCCAAAAAAGCCCTCGGGGGTTCCCCACCCCCAACCCCGCCGTGGAGTAACGGGTGGGAAAACGGCGGCACGGGGTGAATGCAAATAGGGAGGTGTGGTCATGCAAATATGATCAGAGAAGGGCGCGATGGGAGCGTTATTTTCGGGGTATCTCGGGGATTTTAGGGAATTAAATGAGCGGGACGCAGGCAGGAGGTGTGGAATAAGTAGGGCGAAAATTTGTGCGGAGATTAAGGAAGGTTTGAGGGTTCTAGAGGGGTCACCGTTAGGTCCATGGGGGGCTTTGGGGGGCCGGTTGGGGCCGTGTGGGTTATGGAGTTATCGCTTCTCGGCCTTTTGGCTAAGATCAAGTGTAGTATCTGTTCTTATCAGTTTAATATCTGATACGTCCTCGATGAGAGGACTTTATATTAAACGGATTTTTGGGCGCGGGAGTTGGACCCGGAGCTTGCTCCCTCCGCTCCGCGCATCGTCCCGGTATTGCAGTGCCTCCGGGAACGGTGCACCCCCTCCGCGGGGACCTTATCGTGGTCAAAAACAGATTAAAAAATCCTTAAGTTATTCCCCATCCTACAAAAAAAATTCTGAAGTCTCACCAATTAATCCTGAAGATACTTCAGGGTCTCACCTAGTTCCCTCTCAGGCGCCGCCGCCGCTCGGCCCTTCCCGCCCCGCTCCTTCCCCTCCCGTGGGTATTCCGCGTGGATTTGGGGGCGAGTCGGGTAAGATTTTCCAGAGTTTAGAGTGGAATTTCGATGCGATTCCGCGATGTTTGATCGTGATCTTGGATCTGAGAGAAGGTCTGGTACGTTTTAGGGTACGGTTGGGTTTTGAAGGGTTCTGATGGCTCTTTGCCCCTCGCAGGATCGCGGTTCTCCTCCCCCCCGCTGAAAGAGACTGAAAGCTTTTAAAATCAAATCTAAACCTTGATTAAAAACCTTTTAGATCTCTCCTTTTCTGTCCCGAAGGTGTCTGGGGGTCCCGCCGGGGTCCCCCCTGAGGCGCCACCGCCTCTGCCCCCCCATTCCCCTCACGGGGCGCCGCAAAATGGCGGCGCCTTCGCCACTCGGGCCGCGGCCGAAACGGCTTCGAAGGCCGCGATTCCGCCGCTTCCTGCCTAAATTAAAGGTGTGGGTTAATTATAATAAGTGTTTTCTGACGCGGATCTGCCACTAAAAGGTGGTGTTCGGCGGGGGAAGGAGAACCGCGATCCTGCGGGGGGCAGAGAGCCATCAGAACCCCTCAAAATCCAAGCGGACCGCTCCCCAAAACCTCCCACGGATCCGCCAAGATGACGATAAAATATCGCGGAATCGCATCGAAATTCCACTGTAAAGTCGGGAAAATCCTAACGGACTTATCCCCTAATTAACGCGAAATATCCACGGGAATGGAGGGACGGGCAGGGCCGAGCGGCGGCGGCGGCGCCTCAGGGGGGACCCTTGCGGGACCCCCAGACACCTTCGGGACAAAAAAGGGGAGATCTAAAAGGTTTTTAATCAAGGTTTAGATTTGATTTTAAAGCTTTCAGTCTCTTTCAGCGGGGGGGAGGAGAACCGCGATCCTGCGGGGGGCAAAGAACCATCGGAATCCCTCAAAACCCAATCGGACCGCCCCCCAAAACCCACCCAAACCTTCCCCCAGATCCGCCAGGATCACGATAAAATATCGCGGAATTGGATCAAAATTCCACTCGTAAAATCCTAACTATACCCTAATTAACGCGAAATACCCAGGGGAATGGGGGGACGGGAAGGGCTGTAACACGTGCGAGAACTCCAAAGGAAACTTCGTCCCCACCAATATGATGTCGGAAGCTTCAAACTTTATTAGCCATCACACAGATTTTTATGCAGTCTAATAATTATAATATATTTTACTATTTCACACATCATTGGATACACACTTAAAACATATTTAACTATTTTAATAGCTATTGGTTACACATTTAAAACACACATTGTTCACACGATTATTATTGGTTAGTTAACATATCTTATTTTCTAAATTCTTCTCCTTCTAAATCTAACTACAACGCTTCTATTCCCATGCCTCCTGGCAGGTTCAGCTTAAACTCCCTTCTGCAAGTGTTGTTTTTCTCGTTCCTGCAGATGTCCAGTCCTTGTCATGTTCTCAAAACACTTATCTAGTTCTCAAAACACCTATTCTTGGGACTTTTCAGATTCCCACCAACTGATCTATTCTTGTTTCAACCCAGAGAGCCTCTAATTCTGCAACATCTCCCCCTTTTTCTTTATTTACAACCCATACATTCTTTATCATTCTTGTAACTATTCTTTCTAAGTATTGCAGAATATATGGTACAAAAATTATAAAAAGTAGTATAACTATACTTATCATAACAGCCATTTTTACTAAATCATTAAGCAATACAAGTAATCTTGTTTTGATTATAGACAAAAGTCATTTTGATAGTTCTCAGCTACTAAACAGACTAGTTAGTTAGTCTTGACCAGCATCAATTTGCAACTCTTTGATTCTTGCTTCCAATCGTTGAAGGCTAGCATGCATCAACTTACCATAATTAAATTTATATAACACATCCTCTTAAAATCTTAATACTCTTAAAGTATTTTAAGTTCACACACATAGATATCTACACAGCTTTTCTCACTCATACAGCTTTTTTCCCAGTCATTCAAAAAGGTGGCCACCTCAATCACTCTTCACTCACACATAGCTAGAATTTTTATTATATTTTTGCATTTCAACCACACATCTCATATCCCAAGTATTACTGGCTGTGTGCTTCTCAGTTTGCCATCTCTATAGTCATGTTTAGTAATAACTGTACTTATTTTGAAGAGGAATCAATACAAGGAATATAAAGTTTAACCTAAATGAATAATACTATTAGTCACAGACATGGAAATGCCTTTTTTTTTTTTTTTTTTTTTTTTTTTTTTAAGTTTAGTTTAGCAGCTGCAGTTTCGGCAACTTTGTTACACTGTCGAGAAAGTTGTGCCGGCAACACTACAATTGCCGAGCTTTGTAGTTTTGGGTTAATTCTAGGACTCTTCACCGCGGGTGGCGGGGCCCGATTCTGTTAGGGAGTAGTGTGTCCCGTTCTGTCCCGGAGCCCGCAGAGCCTCGGCTCCGCACTCGCCGCGGAGCTGCAGTAACAGTGGCCCCGCCTGTGCTTGGTGTTTCAGCAGCAGGAGGGGCCCGTGGAGCGCGGCCGAGTCCCACAGGGGGTCCCTGGAGCCCCACAGGGGGTCCCTGGAGCCCCCCAGGATCATCCCCACGGGAGGCAGGAATGCCGGGAGCAATCCCGGAGCGCCGGGAGCCGCGGGAGCCAGCGGGATGTGGAGTCGCTTCCCCGGGACCGCATCCCCCGGGATCAGCCGCTCCGTGCCCGGCAGGATCCCGGTCCCGGTCCCTGGAGGTGACAATTCCTGCCGGAGCCGCTGGAGCTGCCGCCGCTGCTGGGCCAGGCTCAGCCGCGCCTGCTCCAAACGCTCTTTCTGCTCCCGGAGCTGCTCCAGCCGCTCCCGCTGCTCCCCCTGCACGGCCCGCGCTTCCCGGAGAGCCCGATCCCCGTCCCGGCACTGCCGCTCCGAGCGCTCGGCCAGGCCCCGCCTTCGCTCTGTTCACTTTGCACTGGTCTCGCTCAGCTCTCGGCATGGTTCTGCATAGCCGTCCCGTTTTGTGCTGGCTCTTCCAGTTGTTTCCACTGCTAACAAAAGGTTTATAAATCATTCCTATTAATAGTTCAGTCAGTTTTAAGTGGCTATCGTAGCAGAAACAAATGAGAGAAGTCAGGCAATTTTGCAGAGGGGGAAAAAACGATAGACTCAGTCTGGGAGTCCTATCTTCTCCTCCTGTTGCTCTGGCGAGTCTATCGTGGGGCTCGAACCCACGACTTTAAGGTTAAAAGTCTCTGAGTTAGTCGGGTTCCTGGTTCCGTTTGCTTAAGGCGACTGTAACCGGCCCTGCCGTCCTCGGAAAGTAAACTTGGATAGGTACTGTGAGTGAGATGTTGCTTCAATTTTCACAGTAGCAGTAAAAGTTTTAGGGAGTTCATGTGTTTGAAAGGTTTCAGATACTACTCTTACACAAGCTTTTGTTTTTCAGTCTTAGAGTTAGTAATGTTTAACTCCATGTCTTTTATCTGTGAGTGACTGTTGTGTTGAAATTATAACTTGCAAAGCAAACATATTTTTGCCTCTTGTTTAATTTCATTAACATTGTTAAAAGTTCAAAGAATGTTGTTCAAGGATTTTATGGATTTTTAGAGTGAATGGTCGTCATAGCGACTGATTGCTTCACTTCCCTGCTTCGGCTTGTCTCCAGCCCACTTTGTGCGGGGGGGGGTAAAAAGGTTTTCAATCGCGATCTCAGCCGAGCGGTCTCAGCCGACCTCGATCCCGGTCCCGGCCCCGGCCCGCAGAGCCGAGCCGTCCCGCCCCGCCAGTGCTTGTCATGCACCGCTGATACTTCGCTCTGCCATTTCGCGGTGCCGCTTCGTTCTGTTCCTCTCTATCCTTTGTGTTTTCCTCCCGCAGTGCCCGGGTGAGGGCTGAGCTATTAGCCCCCAGCTGCCGCCGCAGCTCCAGGCACTGACGGGCCCTCAGCTCCGGCATCTTTGCCTTCGTTTTCACCTCAACTCCGATCTTTTTTGCTAAATATAGCATACTCTTGAGCGTTGCTCGCTCAACTGCAGATACCGCATATCTCATACTGTCTGCTGAATATTTGCAAGCGCT